TCTCCATGTCTACAGAACCTCTTGGATTTTTCCCCGTGTGTTTCCCGTGTGGCAGTGTTGGAGTGTGAACCTGTGAGTGGATATTCTGAAGAACGTATGCTTTCCCTTGGACTTCCCTGGAGACCCCTTCTTCCCCCACTCAGCTGTATATAACACCCCCCGGCACATTCTTGTATATACACCTGGTGACTTGTAAATAAACTCGTCTTGTAAGCATCAGTACCGGAGTCCTGCGCTTGAGTCCTCCTTCCAACCGTAACATAGACTCCATCAGCTGAGATTTACATTAAACCACTTAAAGCTGCATGCTCAACAAAGTGCCTCATTTGCAGACTGTGACAGAGTGAATGCAGGTGAAAAATAGGATGTGTAATATCTAGGAAATAAACTACTGCTGCTGTGCAGATCTTTTAGGTGAGAATGCAACATATCTGTGAGTATAAAGGTATGGACTACAGGAAGCAAAGTGTTCTTCTAGAGCATGTTCTTGCAAAACAATGCCTTAACCCTTTAAGACCTACCATAGAACCAAGTCCGCCAGAGCTTGTCTTTATATTTTTTCATGCTGTAGTGCCATTTATGGGAGCATTTCAAGTTGCTATACATCAATACAACCGTTATAGCCCAAATTTTAATAATATGTATGCATTAAATCAATAATAACTACAAAAATTGCAAAAAAAGTGCAACAAACAAAATTGAAATTCGTTTTTTTTTGTTTTTTTTTAACATATATTTCTAGTTAGAGAAATGCAAGAGGCTTATCCCTCAAAACTGTAAATACAAAAAGGTTGCACAAAACAGTTTCCAACAACAGGAAATTTATTTTGAGTGTCTTCATAGCTTTATTATTGAGATACAGGTGAGATGATTTTTATATACTGCAGGAAAAACGAAAATAAATACTATAATGCAAATTTGCAAAAAAAACAGCATATGCAAAAAATAAATTATTGCCACGAACAGCTGATCGGATCGGCCAAGCGTGTTTCTGGAATATTATGTTTTTGTTGCTGCAAGTGCTTTTTGTGCAGTTTTTGCAAAGCTGTATGTGGAAGGAAACTGTGACTTAGGACAAGCTGATGACATAAGATGCAAGTACAACTCCTCCGGTTTCATATGCAAAAAAAATTATTGCGCTAGCTTACCTGGTTACGGTTCTACAGGGATTTAAAAATAGTTACGCAAAACGAAGCGTGCCCGCTCCGACTGGTTTTAACGGGTTAAAATGCCATCTATTCAGAGAAGGACAGCTTGACTCATCATGAAGGTTATGAAAATAACCATCCTATCAGAGCTACTTTGCTTCTCAGTTTGTTTCTTTAAAAAGCAAGATTTTAAATGAATAGAAATTGTTTTTTAAAGCTGCTGATTGACGTGTGTGATCACGTGTGTAATATGTAATAAAAAAAACAACACTTTTAAAGTCCTTTCTAGGCTTTATATGAGAATGAATGCTCACTTACGTGGGCGAGGCTGTGCGTGCAGCACCTGCTCCAGGTCACCCAGCATGGTGAGGATCACCTCCTTATCAAGCTGAGCTCTTCCTTCACGAGGACCTCCCTCAGAAACCTCCTCCTCCGCCCAATATCCGCCATCTTTCTCCCTGCCTCCCTGTTTCCCGCCTCCCTTGTCTGCTGCTGCAACCTCCTCATCGGACCGCCCCCTGCTGACCTCTTCATCTGTTCCTGCCACCTCTCTGGACCTCCGCTGTGCCTCAATCCTCGGGTGGCCACTGTACGATGCCCGCTGTGGCCGCCCTCCTGCTGCTGTGCATCGCCAAGGGACTGGAATGAGAGAATGCTCTGACTGAGAGAGCACTTTAGTGAGGGAGAGCGACAGAGATCGAGCTCTGGTGCCCCTTACACCTCCGCCTCTTGTGACCACATCCTTCCTGGGGCTTCCCTGCAGACTGCCTCCTGCCCGTTGTGTGGGAGAGGAGTACAATGAAGAGTTTTGAGGTTGGGAAAGGCGAGAAGGCGGCAGCTCGTCGAGCTCAAAGGTGTAAACCTGCTGCTCGCCATCACTGAGCAGGGTCAGGTTAGTAAGCGAGCGCTGCTTGATCCGCAGGTTGAGGTTGTCAGGGAGAGGCTGCGGAGGCCGTCGAGCTGGGCTGCCGCCCTGATAAACCGAGAACTCCGCTCCTCTCTTCATCCTCTCTCCTTTTCAACTAACCTCTTTACCGCTGGCAGCTCAGTGACTGAAACTATATATGCAAGTGGATCTACCTGTGCATGGCACTCTGTTTGACATCTTGACTGCACTAAAACTGAGAAAGCAGATGGAAGCAAGGAGCGCAAAGAAAACAGAGGAAGCATAAGAGATGGAGCCCCAGGTCCTGCGTCTCCCGACTGATGTCCAGGCTTCAGTGGGCTGGAGGGAAAGCGAGCAGAGGGAGTAGAATGGAGAGAAAACCACCTTCTCAGGCATGTAGGTAAAATCCAGATCCATCATTAAGCCAGCCCATAGTCATGGTCAGACGCCGAGCCAGACACAAACATTCATTTCTTCCACTCCTTCCCTGTCCGCATGCTGTCTCTCTGTCTTCTTGGCTCCTTTCTCCTGCTTCACCACAGTCAGGGGCGTGGATGAACGACTCGCTACATCTCTCGCTCCTCACACATTCTCTCTTCCTCTTGCGCTCTCTTTATCTTTTCCCCCTATTAAATGGCAGTGTCTTTTCATTCACTCTTATCTATCTCCCCCTACCTTCTGTCTCTCCTTTAATTACCACCTGACAGCCACGCTACTCCTGCCTCCTCTCTGACGGTTCCTCTCTCCTCACAGCGGAGAGTGAACGGCGGTGGTGAAGCCGGCAAATGGGCTCACATAGCTCTCGGAGCGCCTGCATCTCTCTCTCTCTCTCTCGCTCTCTCACTCACTCTCTCTCCTTTCTCACATTCTCTCCCCCCTCTGTGTTTATCACCCTCTCTTTCACCTAATCTCTCTCTTTCTGTTCTGCTCTTACTAGCCCTCTTCCTGTATGCCTCCCTTCCCCCTCCTTCTCAGTGTCTCTCCATCTCTCTCCCTCACAATGTGACAATGAGTTGCTTGGACAGTGCACCTGTAAGCTTGCAGCCCCCGCTGCACCACTCTGACCACCCAAACTTAATTAAATGCTATCCTGAGGAGCTAAAGCAGCAAGCCCGCAGCTTATCGCGAATCAACAATGAGACCACCGAGCCAACATATTCCCATCAATGACTGGAAGCATTATTAGCACTGTCTCTATTAGTCACAGCTGTCTACCACAGCATTCTCTAATCGTGACTACTAACTGCTGGAGGACCCTGGAAGCAGTTGCCTCAGAAAACATAATCAAGGTGATCCTAATCATCATGCCCTATGAGGTACTTCATCGCAAACTGATGTTTTATCATGAATAAAAGATGAACAGATGAAGACAAATAAACTGTGACACTTTTAAGCTCAAGCTTAACTCAACGTATGAATGAAGAGTTTATATAGAGTGCTGCTTTGATGTTTTAAAACTGGTCTTACTGACACTGGTTCAGTCTGTATATGTAAATGTATATGAGAAGTCTTGTCATGTGGCATTTGTGGTATGCATACACTTGAATTTCCTTCTCAGAGACTCATTCCTGTCTCTCTACTGAAGAGCAGGAAGAATGAAGACTGCAATGACCATGAAGCGTGTGACATTAAAAAGCAAGTGTTTGCAATGGACCCCAAACAAAGAGAACGGTCAGCACCGCAGTCTAATTTTATCCTTGAAATCACGGGCTTTGGAAAAGCCGCGACCAAAGCAAAATGTCTGGAATGTTGCTGCCGACATGACATCCCCAAACCTATAATCACATGCTGTTGTTTGTGTATGCTGGTCTTCTGGCTTCACTTTGAACTTGACGTCTGAATTAAGAAGTTTGATTTTAAATGAAGACATCACCATCTGAATCAAGTGACCTGTTCTAAAATGGAAAACCCAAAAAGTCTCAAAGGATCCTCTGCGATAAAATCAGTGATGAAAAGATTATGACGCTAAAGAAAAAGGAGAGAGGACACATCTACCACAGATGTAACCTCTGAACTGAAGGCAGACCAAAGAGCTATAATGGACGAAAGAGCTGTCACAGTGACCTCTTCATTTGGAACTGGTAAAATGCAACTGAAACAAAGAGATTTGTCTGTGCCAGCAGTTTGTATTTTGATGGTCTGGTGCCTGCTTTAACCTCTCATCCTTCTCCTGTCTGGGCTTTTGTGGTTAGAAACTCCTTTAAAAGTGGTCAAATGTCCCTCAGTCCTGAACTCTGAGATGCAGAAAAACGCCACAGTACTGTAATTCCACAATGAAGACAACCTACAGCTCCACTTTATGTGTGTATATGTGTTATGTGTGAAGCTTTACATACAGCCATACCGATGTTGTCAACGTTTTTGATAAATACTCTGAGACTGGCAATGATAAACCATGTACATGTATGTATCATGGTGACTGGTGGTGGTGCAGCAATGCGATTATATCAGCTGGTGGCAGCCTGCAGCGAAGTAAACATAGCTGCAGATGCTCCCCGTGTCCAGCTGTCACTGCTGACCTTTTCCTTTCCCTACATGAAACCAGCCCAGAACAGGAACCCTCCCAGTAAGTACAAACAGACTCACTTTAGCACATTCACACACCAGCTGCATAATACCAGTACACTGAGTTGGCCACAGCAGCAGCTTTCAAAAGGCTCTCTGATCCTGCAGCTACTTTTCCACCTATACTCCATTAACCTCGTCTCTGACAAATATCACTGTGGACAGCTAATCCATATTGTAACAAGAGTCTCTACCTAAGCTAACACATTTTGTTCCAATTGTTTAATGAAGGAAAATGTCATTTTAAATCAGTTCCTTTAGCATGTAGCAGACCACTGCAGTAGAATTATTTATCTACAGGGACAGATCATAATGCACAGATACTTATGCACATTCTCACACCCACACTGAGAAATATCCTCCAAGCGGAGCCCACATCTGTGTGGTGACCTGGTGCATACCTGATATCTCCTCCAGGCACTGTTTGGCTGTCTTGCTGTAGACTAGCTCTCCCTTGGTGGGGCTGAGGCAGGGGTCGGCTGGGGCCACCATGGTGCAGTCATTTTCTGAGAATGTCCTAAAGGCACAAAGAACAAATAACACACAGCAGTTAAGAAGATAGGTTTATCAGATATTTCAGTCTAACCTGAATTAAAGGCACTGCAGTCATGGAGGAATGGATTTAACTAAATTTGCTGTGTGCTTCCTCTCCACCAGCCTGAGCTACCTCACACTGTTTGTTTGCCGATTTAAAGAAACAAAGGTGGAGTCCAACGCTCCTCATAAGATAACAGTCTTACACGTACATACAAACTTTGAACAATGAAAGTGCCACAAAACCATGCAAAAACAGACTAAAGGCACAGAACGACACAGTTGTACAGCTGACACGCAAACCCAACAGAAAGCCCTCTCACGCAGGAACACACAAACAGTGAAACACATACAAACTAACACTTTAAACCACACACAAAATCCTGAAATGCACACAGTAAAACTGCATTACAAACTGAGAAAACAAAAAACAGGCAGGCAGAGAACTAAGCACAAGCTACTGAACACCATGCATTTCTTCCAATACATACACATGCACGCAGACACACACCAGGGACGACCACCACCTGCAGAGCTGCAGATAAAAATTGGCTTCCAATTGTGACAACAGCATTCGCCTGTGACTTCAGTTCATGTGAAAAAGATTTTCTTCTTCCTGCAAGCTTCCCTCACCTCAGTGGATTCACAAAGACGGAGACACAGATATTCACTACCATTGCTGTATGGCACTGTATCACCCAAAAAATAAGAGAATAGATATGGGGGGGGAGGGTTGCAGTAATAAGATATTTGACTCTGCTGCTTTAAAAAAGAAGGTTTACTGCTGGTCATGTAAAGAAATGTGATTTTTAATCGCCCCCTGTAAAAATTGTCCGGTCAACCTAGGTTATGGAAGCATAGGATGAGAACGGGCATTGCAAACTACATTTCCCTGTGGTGCAACTGTGAGTGCATGAGAAAGAGAATGGGAAAAAAATTATTTCTGCATACAAAAGTGGTCTGTTAAGCTTGGAAGATACAACAACTTTAAGTGGGCAGGGAGAAAGAATCCAAATGAGACAAGGATGCCTAATTGTGGCAAAAATGCTGGCAGCACAGGAGGGGGCCTTTATGCATGGTGACGGCTTTGGATGAGGAAGAACATGAAGATGGAAGCTGCAGATATATGAACGGAAGGATATATCTTAGAACACAGCACAAAGGTTAAGATCTGCACGTGAACTGTTCCTCGAGAATTTTATTCACCACCGAGTATAGTCTGAGACACATTATTACGTAATATGTGTAAAAGATGGGATAGCACGGCAGTGGGGCATTGAGCATTCTCCAGGGTGTACGCCGTCTCTTGCCCTCTACAAGAAGAACTGGATAAGCAGAAGAAAATGGATGGATGGACGGATGGATGGCCTACAATTTCATACCTACTATTATGTAAAAAAGTACAGGTGACTTTCACTGTAACACTTTTGGAGGGGGCCAGCGTTAACACCACAGATATTCTGACAACCCATTAACTCTGCATGTCTGTTGTTTCTAATGATAAACAAATTAAAACACTCCAATGTATCTCTCTTGTACCCTCCAGATTCAATTCCATTCAATGTTATTTATACAGCGCCAAATCACAACAACAGTTGCCTCAAGGTGCTTTATATTGTAAGGTAGACCCTACAATAATACATACAGAGAAAAACCCAACAATCATATGACCCCCTATGAGCAAGCACTTTGGCGACAGTGGGAAGGAAAAACTCCCTTTTAACAGGCAGAACCAGGCTCAGTGAGGGGCGGCCATCTGCCATGACCGGTTGGGGTGAGAGAAGGGAGACAGGACAAAAGACATGCTGTGGAAGAGAGCCAGAGACTTTGCAGATGCAAAGTTGATAAAGTGCCTCCCCCCCCCCAAAAAAGAGACTTTCTTAACAACTGAGAGATATATATATAGGAGCAGCTGCGACGGATGCCAAATTTGAACTTTCTAGTTCCAATTACTGACCAAGATGGCAAGAAACAGTGAGTAGAAGTCCAAGCTTTAAAATGTTCTCTCAGAAAACTCTGGGTAAGATCACAGATGGTCCATCCACTTCTACTACACTCAATGCTTCTGTTTACTTTTTGCTCACTGAGTAGGCTGCCTGTGTTTTCACACTTTAAGTTTTAGTTCCCTGCTTCAGAGCTGACTATCACTCATTATCTCCTCAGGACTGATAGCCGCAGAAGCTCACTAAATGTGTGGGATTAAAGGAATGCTAATGCTCGAAAGAGGCACTGCTGAATGTGGCAGAGCTGACTGTGCGCTGCAGAGGAGGTAGTTCAGAGAGAGAGAGAAAGGGTGAAGGATTTAGTCTTGTTTAATGGGATTCCTAACTCCCTTTCTCTCCTAACACAAAGCCATCCTAGAGACTATTTTTTTCTTTGGGATTTACCCACTTCCTGCACCTCTGATTGCTGTAACATCATGAAACCATGTGCCAGATGCATGCCTCTAACAACAACACTAGCTGAATGAAGAGAAGGGGAATGAGTTCTTGAACACTGCCAATGTCTGGATGCTCACATCAAAGATGAAACCCAGACAGTTAAATAATAGGCTTTGGCAAGCAGCAGGGAGTGGATGCTAATTTGTTCAGTGATGCCTGTGAAGGGATGTGGAGGCGAGAGCAAGACGCACAGTGGGGAGGCTCCAGCTGATCACTGGGAGAACTCCAAGATCTCATGGGGTGTGTGAATGTCTGTAAGCATGTGTGAATGTGTGCAGGCAAAAAACGGGTCAACAGGTTGCTCTCGCTGGGTGTCCTTTGAGTGATGACGATAGGACAAATAAACACACACACACGCGCCTCACCTGTACATGAAGGGGGCCACAGTAGCTGTATTAGGATGGTTGTGCTGCTGCTGCTGGGGAAGCTGAACTACTCCATTTCCTCCTGGTGTTCCTCCCCCTCCCCCACTTCCTCCCACAGTGGACGCAGACAGGGCTGAGGTGCTGGTGGACGAGGTCATGCTGGTCCGTTTGCCCTCTGAGCCCCCTACGGAGCGTTGGATATAGAAACTCCCACTTTGCCCCCCTTTGGTTAGCTTGGCCCTCTCTCCCTCTCCTCCTCGTATATTTCCGCTGCTGTTTAAGGCGGCCTGGTTTTGGGCCTGGGACTGACTTTGTGGCTTTGCTGATGATGCCAAGGGACCTTTAAGTCCTGGCTTTGGGATGCCGCTTGAAGCTGAGGGGGTGCCACCATCTTTCTTCCCTGACGATGACTTCCCTCCTTTTGGGATGAGGCTGGCAATTTTTGAGGACTTCTTCGTGGACTCGGGAAATGTGTCGCGCTCCTCTTTTGGGGGAGAGCTGTCCTTACAGGACTTCCCAGACTTGCTCTTGTCCTCCTTGTCTTTGGAGGAGGCTTGAGACCTGCTACCACTGGCGGACGCCTTTGAATAAGAAGCGGGTGAAGATGAGGACGTTTTGCTTGGTGCGGTGAGGGACGACGCAGGGGTCTTTGTAGCCATTTGTTTGGCTGTAGCACTGCTGCACGCTGACCCTGTAGGCGTCAATCCATCTTCACCATACTCTGATAGGTCATCTTCCTCCTGCAAAGCCATCTCCACCACAGATGGTGATGCTCTTGAAGCCGATCGGGGGTTAATCAGCCGAAATTTCTCCAGCATTGACCTCTGAGGCAGTGCAACACTTGACCCTACTTTTGACCCATCCCCTTCTGGGGCTTGCGGTGATGGGGTGGTAGAAGGGGAGTGTGTAGGGCTTGCCAGCATGGATGAAGTTGCGCTGTGCTTAAGATTCATGGACTTGCTGCGCCAGGACTTGCAAGCTGTGGGGGAAGGGATGGCAGAGGCCAGCTGCTGCCCGCTGAGGCTGGTGGGAACCATGCCACCAACACCACTTCCATTCATCCCACTAGGTACTGGGATGCCTCTCACAGCCTCTGAACAAAGAGAGTAGAGAGAAAGAAAAATACGGGATGATGATTAAAAGGGATATCTGGTGAATTACAGTTTTTGATGTAGAAATTTGCAATTTCAAATAACCAATTCATAAGCTGCAACAATTTATTACTAATCTTTTTGTGATGAGATTGGTTGGAATGATTTTCCATTGAGATGTTGCACAGAATTGATTACAAAAAGGAGGATTAGTCATGTATGCTGCATTACGCTACCTGTAAAGTGTTAGGTTTCCCCAAAATTTATTGCAGTTTGATAATTAAATGCAATTTTCCTATTTTATTTAATTTAATTTTTTTTTACTTTTTATCATAGTCATTTACCAACAAGTTATTAGCTAAAATGCTACACTTCCTCAGGCTTCCTGGATTTATTTGACAAGAAAAACTAGTTCAGAATACTCCGCTGACTCCCTGCTGACTTCCTTTGTGGTTTTACACACATTCAGCAAAAAATAGTTAACTCTTACATTATTTGGGGAAAATTACAAAAAGAAAACCCCAGAGCTTATTCTCAGGTGACAGGATATCAACAGCGAGTTGAGTTAAAAGAAAAGACTTCATGTTTATTACAACACCGGTGTCTTATAAGGAGTTTGCATTCAACAGTGTTTTACCTTCTTGTTACAATTCTTTGTAACCTGTAACCGCATGTATACATGTATATAACAGACCTATAAAGGACAGGCTATCATGTTATGGTAGTGACAAACAAATTCTCACCATCATAAATAATAAAGGAGAATTTCCTGAAAGGAAGCCATTCAATTAAAATATTGGCCTTTTCTGGAAAAGATCCACCTCCCAATGAGTAAAACAACAAATGAAAGTTTGAGAAGCTTTTTTTTTTATTTACTCTGCAGCTTCATTCCCTGAACATTTTTTATTTTGGGATATTCATATTCTGCATTTCTTTTTTCCTCTTTCTACTTTCATCCACACAGCTGGAATTATACTGCATACAGCTATATGAAAGATAAATAACTACCTTTCACAGATCATCAACACCCCTTTACCTGTGTATCTCTTTTATACATAAACATTATCCCAGACCTCACAAGTATAGCATTTGCGTTAGGTATGCACATGAACACAACTTCACCTCCCCATGAACACAAGTTTGAGTTACTTTCTAACTGAAAGAGACAAATAGCGGGGAAAAAAGTATCAGCAGAATTATGATAGGGTAAGTAGAGAGAGGCGACAGAGTGACAGCATGAAGTTATGCTCCATTAGACTGAGTGTCTGTCTGTCTGGCTGTCACTCAGCACAGTGAGCAGGGTTCAGCTGGCTGTGAGTCACCCCCACTCTGCAGTTTAAAGCCTCCTCAGGCAGGCAGAGGAGGGGGGCTCAGATTGAGCTGTGGCTGGGACCGAAACACTTTAACCGGCTTATGCTTCTGACAACATCCTGTAAAACCTTTAAACATGCCTGAAAACACCTCAGTGCATTTGGCACAATGTGTCAGGCTGTAAAGTGTCAGGCCCTCCTTTATATAATATTGTTTAAACTGTAATTTAGGAAATGGCAGTAAGATACCTGATAATGGTTTGGCCACACTTTGAAGGCTTTAAAAGGGACTGACTAGAGCAGGGGTAGGGGACTCCAGGCCTCGAGAACTGGTGTCCTGCAGGTTTTAGAGCTCACCCTGGGTCAAAACACCGAAATCAAATGATTAGTTCGTTACCAGGCCTCTGGAGAACTTCAAGACATGTTGAGGAGGTCATTTAGCCATTTGAATCAGCTGTGTTGGATCACAGAACACATCCAAAACCGGCAGGACACCGGCTCTCGAGGCCTGGAGTTCCCTACCCCTGGACTAGAGCAAAAATCTGTTGGCTTCACATTAGTTAAGGATTGATTCGGATAACCATATAATAATGTGACAAGCAACTGACAACTGGAGACATTTTTAGCCAATAACAATTTTTTAATATTAGAATGATTGTAACAAGTTAAATAAATAAAGGAGTGTCTGCTAGGGTGTAAGTCTAAGTGGAACTGCAGTTATATGTGTTGTTGTAGCCAATCTATGTTAAAATAAAATCAGTTTTTAACATGTGTTAAAGTGTATGGATCTGTTCTGAATGTGCTGGTGGGTTTGTGTGAAAGGATATCTGTACAACAACAAAATCAGTTTCAAGTTAATTAAAAAGGATAATGAACTGGCAGCCCCCCTCTTTTTCTACCATGAATAGCTTTAAAAGCTGAGATAAGTCACAATAGCAAAGTTTCAAATCTCAGATGAGACCAAAAGAGCTAAATATGGGTTGAAGACTTATCAGTTAAACGCTGGTGCAAAGAAAAAACATTTGCAGCTCCAGTAGCATAGCTGTTGTTTTGAGCGTGTGTCTTCCTGGCAAAGTGTGGTCCTGGAGTTTATTCTTATGCTTATTCCTGCAACACTTATTGTTGCAGGAATACACACAAAGGCATTTAGACTTTGCAAGGTATTAAATGGCTGTCTGTGGGAATAGTTTGTCAGCATGATAGCTTCCTAAGTGTGGAGTGATAAAACTTTACAGGTGATGAGATGAAAACGAGAGCCAGGTTAAAATATGTGTAATCAGATCCATTAGTCCCAAGTTCAACAAATATGTACTAATTACTTGTGTCTGCAACTAATAGTAATATATTACTTTATAGTTACTGTGTACTTATGAGTCTGAATATGAATATGTTGATAGCTGGTCCTATGTGGTCCCATCACAAGACTGTCTCAAGATGGTCATTTCTTGTCCAGGCAGTCATGTGGCACAGGCATAAACGTTGATTACAGCATACATTGTGTGTGTGTGTGTGTGTGTGTGTGTGTGTGTGTGTGTGTGTGTGTGTGAGAGAGAGACCACTATGCTGGCCCCCATCTTTTGAGATAAGTGAATGACTTTTACATATCTGATAAATCTGACTGCGAATGAAAGAGATGGCAAGCATTTGTGTGAGTCTGCCTGCGGTGTGTGTCTCTGCTTGTGTGTCCAGTCAATTAACCCTGTCTTCAGAGATTCCCCTTCCCTCCTCCCCGCTCATCACTTCCCCACCCTAGAGGCAGTTTCACAGCACCACCACACTTTTCACCGTGCAGTGACTTGCTGTTGCCGTGGCAACAGACTCTTATTTTCCTTTTTTGCCTCAGCGACCACGGAATTAAATGCCACTTTGTCTGGGTGGCGGTGGACCCTCTGCTAACAAATACAAACACACACACAAAGTCAGAAGCACACGTGCCCCTGACTCATGTATGTACTGACAAACCCGTCTGTTTACCACACAGTTAAAGACTGAAATTCACCTGGTGTGAGTTTCTACACACTGGCCACACTCCAGTTTAGCACATTTGAACTTGCTCTGCTTCCCACTTCACATCACTGTGAGTAAGACAAATTATCGGCTTAAGGAAACCAGCACCTTCTCCACTCTGGAGTACTGGAGTTTCACAGCTGCTTCTTTATCTTCTTTCTGACACACAAACAGAAGTATTTCTGAAGTATTTGTTGTGCATACATTTTTTGCAAATCCTTAATAAAACAGTATGACAATGTAGTTTGAAAATATATGAAGGATGTTTCTCCTGTTTCGTCTTTCCCTTTTCATGTGTCCGCTGTTACAAATGCCCATACCAATAGATGGCAAACAGATAAAATCAAATAATATATTGACCTGGCCATTGGAGCTTATTGGCTCTGATAAAAAAAATATAGAAACAAACTAGAACGCTAGTTTTAAGTAAACCCTGCCCCTTTTATAGATCAGACAAGTCGACATCATGTACAAAAAACTGCTATGTGTAATCTCCATAATCTTAAATGGCTGTAGTACTAACAGGTGGAAACTATTCAAAAAGGAGGAAAATGTGATAAGTTTTTCTTAAATAATATTAAAACACTTTCAAACTCATTTGTGCAGTGGCCTGGCTTCATTATTAAAATGAAAATAAAGAAAATATGCATAATAATATCAAATAAATAAGAAAATGAAATCTGTAAAAATTGTTAGAGGTTGGGATGAACATTACAGCATTGTCTGCTCAGAGCTGAATACTATATTTGTACTTGTTTCCATTAGTAATCTGAATTTGCACAGTCACAATTAGAAAAGATGAAAAGATTTCACATGAAACGAGAACATGTCCTATAAGGGGCGAATGCAAGTAGCTGTAAGAGAGGAGGGAAAAAGCTTTTGGCAGACACTTCCTGTATCTGTTTATGTGCCTTTTGATTTCTCTGCTACCTGTTTTTGGCCAGAAGGATCCGACTGCATAGCTGACATTTCCTCAACAATTGATCCCCCCTCCACTTTTTGGTTTGTCTATTTTATTTTAAACCAAAACACCTTTTCCATCTCCCCTGCAGTGAAGCACCAGTCCTACCGGCTTATGTCTCCAAACTGAGGCTTTGTCTTTTGGCAAGACTCCACTGGAAAAAGACACATTTGCCCTTTAATACCCTGCGTATCATTTTCAGGAAAAAAAGGGGAAAATGTTACTGAAACCTTTGAAACTGTGACGTAACTAATAACCATAATAAACCTAAAAAAAACCCCTGACATTTAAACCCAATTATAACTAAAAGCACATTAAGACTAATGTGAAATGTCAGTTTCTCAAGAGCTTGTTATTCCCCATTTTTAGCAATTTTCAGTTACGATTGATCACATACTATCTTTCTATCCTTCTTGTGTGCCATCTTTCACCTCCCTCTCCCACTGAAGAATCTGAAGTTTCAGACAGAAGCTGGAAGGGTGAGTGCACATGTGAACTTTTAGGATGAAAAGGAAGGCAGAGAGAAATGCAGCAAGCGTTTGCTGCAGGCGTTTCACTGCTATCTCTGTTGGGTGCCACTCACTGTGTCGCTCCTCCACTACATCACCATCTACTGATCCTTTGCACTGTTTTCCTCAATGACTGTGCAATGCTTTAAGAATAAATGCTGGCTGTCTTTTGTTAGAAAACATTTTTGCCAAAGTAAAAGGTTTGTTAATATACCTTCAGGAGTGGTGTTGTTATTATTATGATGATGATGCTGAGGCATGAGAACATGTTTTAATTACTGGCATTGTGTTAGCCAATAACTCATGAGAATTCTTATGAATGAGCCATGACAAAATCTTAAAGCTATTATAAAGTGATCGAACGAGCCAACAGTAAAGAATTGTGTAATTAACACATTACGAATGGATATATTTACTCTTCACAACAGAATGTGGCCATTAACACAACAAGGACTTTTCAGTAATTACTTTTCTGTTAAATAAAATGCCACACACTCACTCTTGGCCTCTGTAAGACCCTTTCTCAAAAACACAATTACTCTTATTAGCTTGATCGTACTTGACAAAGCGGTTTCCTGGATTCACCCCCTGCTCATTTCTCAAACAGCTCTATTCATGCTGTGAATATTTTCACCACCTCCACTTAATGGCATCTATTCCAACTCAGTTGGAATGAAGAGCTGTGGATGATTCAGCAGACCAGTTAAGACTAGTGACATCAGCCTGTCTGACTTGTGTGAGTGGTGCCATCAAGTGGTTGGGATGAGGAATGGAAAATCACTGCCTCTACCTACTGCAGGAGTAGGCAACTCCAGGCCTCGAGAGCCGGTGTCCTGCAGGTTTTAGATCTCACCCAGGGTGATTAGTTGGTTACCAGGCCTCTGGAGAACTTCAAGACATGTTGAGGAGGTCATTTAGCAATTTGAATCAGCTGTGTTGGATCAAGGACACATCTAAAACCTGCAGGACACCGGCACTCGAGGCCTGGGGTTGCCTACCCCTGAACCCATAGTCAAACTCTGTAAACACACTCTTTACCTCTATCGTTGCCACTGGCATACTGAAGAGGCTTGCTCTTGTCAATGCTGTTGAAGCTCTGGCTCCGACGGTTGAGGTTGGATGAGCCTGGGCTCCTGGAGGCCCCGCTGCCCGCAGCAGGTACTCTGGAGGGCCCTGGTAACCTGCAGGAGAGGTAGAACAATGACAAGTAAGATGACTGCACATTAACTTCAACCCAAAAAAGTCAAGGAAAGGTGGTTTATTTATAACAGGGGATACTTTAAAATCAACAGTCCTTTGTCAGTAATAACTTTCATCCAGTCATTCTGGAGTTCAAATGTGCAAAAGTCACCCTTCTTGTTTCAGGGAACAGCAGAATTACAGAATAACACCAAGGTACTAAAATGACCACCCCTTCCAGAACATCAAGCTCAAGCACGGCTTAACTAACTGATGACATCTCACATTAGCTTCACCTAAAGCACACGGAGATTTGGTGTCCCGTCACTTCCACTGAAAGCCCCTATAAAGTATGCACTGTTACCTTTAACTGTTAGGCCTCAGCTAGACACAATAACAGATGAGATACACATTGAGATTTAAAAATCTACAAATATTGGTATATTTTCTCACAAATAACCAGCCCACGATTCAGTATGTGTCAGTGTGTAAGATGAAGAGAGATCAGAAGTCTTTGTTTCATCTTGGGCTAAGGAGGGAGGATAAAAGAAAAAGAAAAACTGTGTGTTCAGGTGCACGTGTGCTGAGAGTCTGTGTCATGACAGGCTGATTGAAAGCTCAGAGCTGATCAGAGCTACTGTAAAGCCACGCGTGATATAAATATTTCCTTCCCTTCAAACGATCATAAAAAGCAACTACAGTCACATCTACCAGGGGGGTTTGTGTTTTCAGTCAGTCTACTTTTGAAACACACTTTTGCATCATTTCTTTCTGTTGACACAGTCAAAGCTGCCAGTGTCAAATGGTGATTTGCCATGCTGCAGCTGGAGGAGTTTCACAACTCTCAGAAGCGTGTTAAAAAGAAGAATCTCATCAAAAACCTGTTGTACAGTAACGTTATACTGCATTTTTCATGTGGTGTGCCAGATGCATTCGTACATCTGTTTGTTAGCACGTTTCTTCAAAAACACATTTAGCAGCTGGTTCAAAGATTTTGACAACCTGGATCTATTTCTGCTGTAACTCAACATGATTTTTCCCTTTTTGGTGCCTTGGTTTCTCCCACAGATGCTTTACACTGTTTTCATGTTGAAACAATATCAAAATGCAGGTTTTAAAAAGGGCAGAGATAGCTCAAAACCTTAAAAACATTTATGGAACTTTGAAAAAAACAACTTCTGGTGAAATAGAAAATGTATAAGTCAAGATCTTCTCAGAGAGAGAGAGAAAACGCTGGACTGTAACAACTTGATGTCTCTGCATGAACTTTGCCGTGACGTCCCTTAAAGATAATTGATTTGCTATGCTGAATATGTCGCTTGTCTGTATCGCAGATGGAGCCGAGATGTCGGAGGGAAACGTATTTTAGGCTCTGAATTGTGCAGTGGTGAAAAACTGGGGGAAAAACATATTTCATATATTCCATTCTGTGTTTAAGGCTTTCATGAAAATAAACAAATGAAAGGACAGATTGACATCTAGCATGGATAACAAACCTCCGACTACTAAGAAATCTCTTCCGCCACTGCTTTCGGTACTCTTCTATTTCTCTGCCACATGGGCCAACTATGATACACTTCATCTAGGAAACACAAAGTGCAGTTCTCTCTCACTCAATATGCTTTAGTTGAGAAAAAACATTATTTTGATTTTAAACACTGAATTTCAGTGTTCGGAGCATCAGTTAACTGCAAAGCAATTCACCACCAACAAAAAACAATCAGTGACCAAATCAATACGAGTAGAGTTTGATCAAGGAACAACAAAGTTTTCTCAGTCCTTTATTTCCCTAAAGTATCACTCTAAGACTTTAAAATGAGGGTGAGTAACAGAGCCAAATTAAAAGCTGCTGACTGCCCTCCTGACACGCGTGAATCTGCAACAACTGAGGACAAGCACACACTGACAGTCCAAAACACTAAGCGGGTAAAATACGCGTCCCATCTCGTGGTTCACGATGCTATCGTTTTAATTCTGACTGACACAGGTATGAAGGTTTTATGCACAAATTTATCTTGGAATTATAAGATAGAAAATCTCATCTAGGGGATTTATTTACTCGTCTGCATCTGAACTTCAAGTTTAACTCTGGAAAATGTGTGAATCGCTGACAAATCTAAAATATTTTCACACATTATGCAAAAGACTGACTCCCATCTAGTCTGGGTAGTCTTTTTTTCACTGCACAGGATCAATTTCCTTTATGTCTGAAAACATGCCATGGCATCGATGCAGAACTTCACCGTATCAACCAAATCGCCTGGATGAAGGTCTTATTAAAAAAATAGCTGCTGAAAAAACTGCTTCCAGTGCATCATTAAATATCACTGGAGCAGGACTGTTTTTTATTTTTCTGGTACGGTAGCTCAGGTAAACAAAGCAAGTTAGTTACTAACCAGGTATCTCTTCCAGTCTGTGATGCAACAAGGAACAAACAAAGCACTATATTAAAATCCAGCAATTATATTATGGCAGCAAGAAGCAAATTATTTGGATCTAACTACAAAAATTCAAGGCAACTTGGGTGTCTCCCTCAGAAAATGGAACAAGGCGCAGCAGGAAGTCAGAACAAAAACTGCCAAATATGTCAGCCCCATGTGCTGAGCAATGAAAAGATGGTTTTACACAGACAAAAATAAAATATGCTCCTGTGCACAAAACTTCATCAAGAGGAACAAATGTGTCCCTTACTCGCACTTCCCTTCTTTGAATTACTATATGATTTTGCATCCCACTGTTCATTTGTAGCAGACTAGCTGACTGTTAAGAGATGCTGATCCAGGCCTGAGCGCAACACTGGTGCTTTACCCGAGAGGCCTCGGTGAGCTGCAGCAGGAGGTGGTTCTCGGGTCAGAGCTGAGTCTGCCATTCACAGAACAAAAACAGATGGAGATGTATAGTAGCATGCACATAATGCAGAACATTGCGCCCAGAAATGCATACAAAGGCAGACTAGCGTTAATAGTATATATCTGCTTTAATACATTCAGTCTGCAAGAGAGGAACAGACGAGATTGATAGACAAAGACAAAAGAATGAACAGATCTAAAAGGAACAAAAATATGAAATGGGAGGGGGGATGAAAGTGCACACAAACAGGGGTGCACATCAGAAAAGGAAGGCGCTGTAGCTGCAAACCCCGACAAGAGAAAATGAGAGATAAACAGTAGGAAATGAGATGGAGATTGAGGCAATTCAGATGGTAATCAGAAGTAGTTCCTTTTATCATAAGATTCTTTCATCTTCCAAAATACATGTTTGATAATACATCGGCAAAATGGAATGGAAGAGAGAAAATGTGATGCAATTCCTCGACAGGGAATTTGTTTTAGACTGGACAGATCTGAGGTGAAGTAGGGAGGTGGGTGAAATCCTCGCAGAGCAAAGAGAGTTCTCTGCCCTTCACAGTGTTGTGCCATTGAGTCTGTGTATTCAAAACAGCCCTTTCCTTATCTCATGACTAGTTCTTATAACATCTGTTATAACCCTGTATTTGCAAGAGTGTAAGACATCTGCTCTGACACATCTGGCCCCCACATGGCCACTCAATGCCACATCAGGCTTATTAAAATGGTAGAAAGATACCGCAAGTAGGCGGGTGGCCAGCAAACTGCCAAACATCACTCCCTGCTGCTAAGATGAAGGCCACACCGTACCGACATTTAATACGCACATCTAATGTACACTCTATTTGAAATCATGGCAGCTAAACTAATAAAACATGTTGATGGTTTTATAACTTTCAGTGTGTTGTTCAGCTGCTCTGATATGTCAAATGAAAGCAGAATAACTCAAATAACTAAATTGTCAAGACTGTGCTAACATGAGCTGAGCAAACAAACAGGAGATGGACTTATGGCTGAGTAAACAGAATAAAACAGTCCAAACGCAATGAGACAAAGGCAACTCAACTCAAGGTCCACTTGAGATATAAAATAAATTAACTTTTGCAATATTTCTGAGTTGAATAAAGTGCCACCATCATTCATCATCACATATTCTACTGAAATTAAAACTATACTTACATTCCTACCCATCAATGGAACTTAAAGCTGTACATAATCCTCATAACAGTGAAAATTAACGCTATATTTTCAGATCATGAACCCAATGGAAAAATAAGAATGGACAGAGAACAAAAAAGAATCAAAAACGACCCCTTGGAAACGCCGTGTGAGAAAGAGGTGAAGGACGAGAATTGTGTGTCTACCAAGATGTACAACTGGAGTTAAGGGCACAAAACATAAAACAGATAAAGTGTTGTGTTGTCTGACAGTACACAGAAGTTAGTTAGCATCCATAAGTCCTGAGTAGTGATGTGTCGGTTGCGAACGAAATGGCTCTTAGAACCGGCTCTTTTTAGTGAGCCGAACCGAAAGAGCCGGTTCTCTAAAAAGAGCCGGAAATCCCATCACTAGTCCTGAGTGGTGATCCACAAAAAAATAAAGCACCTAGCCCATGGTAGTGTCAGGTATTAGCGCAGTTTATTCAGGAAGTAAATCTCTTTTGTTGTAATTCAGGTCAGATGTCCACATCAAAGGGAACTAGATTAAAAATCCACAACCCATTATGTGAAACATATGAATAGCTATTTGTTGACACCACTTATTATGCACAGAAAGCCAAAACATAACCTGCGCTTATGTTTCGTTTACTGTTCCAACATCAGAGAAGGCAGATTATAGCAAAGAGCTCAACACTGTCTAGCTGATATACAAAATACAAAAATATTTAGCACAGTTTCCACCACTGACAAAAGGGAAACAAAGAGCCTGAATGTGACTGTGTCAAGTGAAAAGGCCAGGTGTAAACTGGATAGGTCCTTGAGTGCTAGCTAACAAGCAAGCACCTCAGACATTCTGAGGTAGTAAGAAGCACACTGAAGCTCCTAGTACCTTGAGGGAAACATTCCTCACCACATTCAGCACAGTGCAGCATGAAAGACACACAACAATTTATTTCTATTTTAGAATTGCTAAAACTTTCTTGCTTCGGGGATAACAGAGGAGGCAACTCGTGGTGATTAAAAATAACTTCTCAGAAGGCAAGAAAGTAATTAACTGTGGTAATCAGCCTTGAATGGAAATCAGATGGCAAGAGAAGAGTGCCTGCACTGTCACCGCTCACTAATATAAGTGATTTGTTTGTGTGCGCGTGCGTATGTGTATCTTCATCTGTTTGTGGGGAATAAAAGAGCTATTTCTGCAGAGCGGCAGCAGCAGTGATGTGAGAGGGCAGATTATCACCCATAGGGCTGGAACTGCTGGCTGCAGCATTTTTGCCATTGCTCAGTGGTGGCTGGAGAGGAATTATTTGCCAACGTGCTGGTTCCCACTGCTTCTGAGTTGGAACAAATGCTGCAAGCATCAGACAGCTGAAGGAGGCTGTGCACATGCAGCACGTGTGGCTACATTTTAAAGTGTATGTCTTACATGTATGTGAAAAATCCCTTTTATCTTTGTTGTTCTGGTCTGCCCATATCTGGGAATGAATTTCTCACCCTTAATGCTCATGTTTAGAGCTGTTTACCAGCTCACACAGGACACAGGTTCCCTGCCTAGCAGCTATATCAAAGTGCTTTGCAACACTGTAGTTATTTATTCAGCATCTTTGTCAAGATGTTTAAAAGTGCTAAGGGACACAATACGCAAAAAACATTTCTTAGGCAGCACAGGCTCCCAAAGGTAAGCACTGTCTGCTCCGAAGCATCAGGTTCTGTGCACTGGTATAACTGAATCCTCCACTTAAATAGTAATCTCACTGAGACTGAGATTGTGAGATTGTCAACAGGAGGTAGCATCCAGTTTTACTCATATTTATTTAGAAACAAATTCCTAGCAAGCATCTTTACAGAAATACTGTATCCATGTAGTGAGTACACACCTTTTGTGATGGACTCATAATGTTTAAGGAGTCTGTATTTCATGTGGGAACATAATGGCACACGCACACGAACATTTAGCACATCACATTCTGCTCTTCACTGTCACACATTCGTTCAAACTACCATAAAGCTACTGCAGCTACATCCTGAGAACCCAAGAACAAAACACAAAATTCTTATAAGGTGTTCTGCCTGTTGACCTCTGACCTGACTGTGGAGAGAGTAGCTCTTCAAAGCCCTCCCTGGAAAAAAAACTAAATTGCACATATTAATTAGCTTAACAAATAAAATAAAGACATTTAAAGATCTATTTTTCCATAATTACCTGGTGTTTTTCTTCTGTGGTGAACCTATTCCACTGTGGCCTGGAGGACTTGCATATCGTGCTGTGAGACTGAGGAAAAAGCAGAGAAGATGGGCAACACTGTTAGCACAGTCAGATAAGAAACAAGACCAGTGACTTGCTGGAATTTTCTTAATCCATGTCTTAATGTAATAACGTGTGAGAGGGGAGCCATTCAGATGTAAGCATAGGAGGGGAGAGAAATGGACCAAGGGAAAGAAGAGAAGAAGCATGTGGTAAATACTGTAGCATGCCAGTGCACATTTCTTTGATTTTTCACATGATGGCTCACACATGTTTGTTACCACACACTTATGACTAGGCCAATAACATCTCCTAATCCATTTATAGGGCTGTTGACACACACACACGCACACACACACACACACACACACACACACACACACACACACACACACACACACACACACATAACAACTTTCACAAACAATTTTCTGAAGGCATGGTTTGAAGAAACACACAAGACAGAGGCAAAGGAAATACCCACAGCACCAGTCACAGTTAGTCATTGGCAGAGATGGGAATGACTGTTACAGGAAGGAAACTCTATTCATGTTTGACATGTTTGTAATTAAGCAACTTGTAGAATGTATTTTCAATAAAGATGTGCTTTTACTGACCATTTGTATATCTGGTAAAGTCCTTCTCAATTACCATGGTGATCTGACCTGCTTTTAAATGTTAGCCCCTACGTCATTTGTTTGTTTTTTAGTGAGAAAATAGACTTAAAACAATGGAAACATTAGCTACCTACTCCTTAGCTACCAAGATGTTAACATACTAGTGTACTAAACAATAATCTGATGATTAAATGATGTTAAATAAAAGCATATAAAATAGATAAAATTACAAAAATGAAAGATAAAAAATAAACATCAAATGTTCAATTAGGCATATGTGATGGCAGAACCACGTTACTAGCTAATGACAATAAAACAAACAAAAATGACAAAACTTTCAATGACCACAATAATTGTGGATTCTAACCAAATCAATGCTTTGCTAGCAGCTGCTAGCCCTTTGTAAGGAAGACACATTTAACTGCTACATATTAGACAAATTTAAGCTAGTTCCCAGAAGAAACCCTTTGAACTAACATTACCTTTCACAGGCTGAACACAGGTAGAAACCTGAGCTTTCCAATCATTGTCTTGATGAGTGAGAACAAGATGAAGTTCAGTAGTAAAACCTTGAATCTGTCCTCTACTCAGAGTTTGCAGAGCTGCTTCGGCTGAAGGACAGAGGAAGCAGCAAACACCAGCAGTCTGTTTAGAGGTCCTTCTTTTCTGACAAATGAGAACAACTCCTTCTCTGTTTTGTGTTTGTGGGCTGCTGGTTTGGCACTGGTGACTGAAAGTGGACAAGACGGACAATAAACTACCTATACTGGGTCATTGAATGAGGCACAGCAACTATCTTCTGTAAGTTCGCACCACTCAGCTATTCATAAAACTGATTATGAAAAAGTGCTAACAGGTTTTACATTATGATATTTCAGGCACAGGTGACACCCACCAAAAGATGATTAAAAAAGAAAAAACTGGTTTAAAGAAGAAATGACTACAAAACCTGCAGTACAATTATATACTACAGAAATGAGGATTAGGGTTCAGCAAAATCTTTAGCTGTTTCCTACTTTAACAGAATTTGGCCTAAAAATGTAGAAGTACAATAATAGGCTGGTCTAGGCCTTTTTGCAGTGATTTGATTAAATATGCTGAGTACACATACATCATTTTGTAGAATCAATGAGAGCAGAAGAATCATTTTGTTCATAAGTTAAACTATGAAGGATTAGGCCCTTTTATTAAATTATTAACTTTTCAACTGTCCATCTTTACTACAAGTTCCATTTCTCTCTCTCATCTTTCTCCATTTACACCTCTTGCTCCAGACAATTAAATTCCTTTTTAACCCACCTGTGATGAATGCAGAGCTGCAGTACATCTCTAATTGCCTTTGCAGGTTTTCATGACACCTTGTTATTCTAACAAGCTCCTGAGCAGAGAGTAGAACGCAATTATAATGACGAGCACCTTTGCATCATGTTAATAATGAACTATGTAATAAATGATACATCAGTGAATACTCGCAACAAGACACCCACAATGTCATCTCCTAGTAGCATGTAAGTGTTCCTGTAAATATTCTAAGAGGTCTTTACTGCACAAAAAAGCCAAGGTGTGACAGTTTAGTGGAGCCTGTCACATGCTAAAGTGCTTTATCAGCATTTTGGGGGGAAAAGAAGGTGGATTCTAAATTTGTGCATTGCATTTCTTTCTAAGAAAACCTTTTGTCCTTCTGCTCTCTGTCCTTTCTCTCTTTTTACCCATACTCAGGGTAAAGGGCTGTAAAAGGCATGGATGAGGTAATATCTAAAGGCAACAGAAGCTGCAGGAGTATAACGAAAAGGAAAAATAATGCGGGAGCAGGCTATAGTTCTAGCAGTATATGGACAGTAAAAAAAAACTAGAGTGTTGTGTTTTTTTTCCATTACAAGACCCATCCTTACCCTCACTTCCAATATTAAATGTAATGAAACATGAAGGCAATGGTATAGTCTCCAGCCTGGGGTGCTTATCCAACCCACAACATTCAAGATCATTCCAGTGTGGAAAAAAGAAACACCAGAACACATGAGGGCAGGATCAAGAAATGGTGATGGAATAGGGGTGGTGGAGACGAGAGGGGTGGGGGATTACAGTCTGTCACTTTTCATTGTATACAACATACATCAACGTGGCCTCTCTTTAATAGTCCGCGACACTGCAGTGCATATGCAAGCCATATTGGATACCATTGCTGTGCTATTAATTTCAGTTTCAGCTTCCTGGTAGCCACATCGCTGAGGTCAGACACAAACTAAAGCTGATGGGTTTCAGAGCCAAAACGTGAGGCATCTGTGTGCTCGAATCACTGTGATGATAGCAGGTAATAAGATGTCATCTGACCTTGACATCGGGGGATGAATTTCAAACAAAGAGCATTCAAGCTTGAGTATCTCACACAAAGCCACATACCTAATTCAGCACGTATCAACTCCACATCTACTTTACAATAATGCTGGCTAGGCAGCAGTTTCTAAGCAACATGCTGCAAGTAGTTGAGGAACTTGAATATCACAACACCAATAAAGTAACACACCATTCAGTAAGAGGTTGAAAGCACCAGCAATGTGCAAAAATGATTTCTGACCTGCCATTTATTCCTTTACCCATTTATGGGTAAAGGAAAACCAACCACCTCTTGGTAAAAGATGAGATGCAAACAGCAAATTCATCAGTATTCCACATCTTCAGAGGCATTATGCCACATGACCAAATGTGGTGCCGTGTCCAGAATAACATAAAAACTGCATATTTTGCCACTGGATTGGAACATTCTGCAGGACACAGTATAAAATTAAATATTGCTATAAAATCAAGAACAAAATTTCCAACCAGGTGCATAGCACTATTGGAGCTGGAGCATGGATAATTAGCTTCAAATACATACAGTACAAAACTGGGTTTTTACAGTGTAGTATCCCATTCATTAAATAAGCTGTTGACAGACTAATGTCTTGAACACACTTCATTTCAACTTCTCACTGGCAAACATCGTGTCCATATTAACAGCCTATAATAAAAAGCTAAACATTAAACATGTCATATAAAAGACTAAACCAACAAACAAGAGGAACTGAACAATTTACCAGTTCATGATGCCACTGAGACTAATCCATCCTCCTCATGTCATCGTGTAATTTCCAAATATTGTCCAGTGCCTGGATGCTACCACACACACACACACACAAGATCCAACTATACCTATGAGATGAGTCAATCTTGGCCAGGATGCTTGCTCTCCCGTATGGCAAGCGGCTCTTTCTGTCGCGAGACACAGCGGTGGGCAGACGCGAGGAGCGCCATACCAGTGGGTCAACGTGGTTGCCCCGGGACATGGCGAATTAAAGAGGGAGGGTTTGCTGTGCCCTGCCAGGCCTGGGCCCCCCTGCCTTGTAGAGCACTGAAAGACTGAAAGACTGTGGCTCCGGGCTGTCGTGCTGTGTCCTATGGGGAGTTCCCCTTAAACACATACAGAGTCACACTCATCTCATCCCCTGCCCTGGAGACACCAGCTAGGCCAGCAGGTGCTGTCTATAGAAAGCTCCCATACCACAACTACAGATGAGCAGCAGCCCAAATGAATCTCTGTGTGTGAGTGTGTATATATGTGTGTGTATCTCTGAGGAAGAGATCTTTTGCAAACTTTAAAACAAAATCCATTCAGACATGTTAAATCTTCAGGGTCGACTGGAGCTTACGGGAGCTTGCAAGAATGAGAATTAAAGTAGATTTCCATGAATAGATTTAATTACATTTCCATGTTTTGAGAGTGAAAAGGAAGTGGAGCCTGCACCAGCCAGACATGAAACCTCACACAGAAGAAACTTACAATGCTTTAATATCATCTGAATTAGACATAATATGAAAAGTAAATGTCTCCCTGTGCTCTGGTGGTAATTACTCAACTTCATGGAGTCTGTGTTTCTTTAATATACAGTGAAATGTTCCTGTTCATGTGTGTAATGTATTATTAAAATATAGTAGTACATGTGCTGAAACTATGAAGCTATGATACTCGACTCAGAATATTACTTTAACACAAGTCTAATTATCTGATTATCGTTGCGGTTAACAAAACCCCTAACAATGAATGAATGAATGAATGAACAATTACGTTGTTGCGATATGAGAAATAAATCCTGCGTGTTGCCAATGACATACAGTAAATTATGGAAAGTGATACTCTGGGAATTTGGTTGAGAACATTAAATCACCCGTTTATGATGTTTGAGTCATGCGTTCATGACTGGCTCATTCTGACTCACACACTGACACTCAGACACACAATTCAGAACTGTGGGACCTTCTTAAAACATTGCTTTAAAAACCAGCAACAGCTCATGAGATTTCAATTGATGACAGGTCAAATTATGTTGCATCTCTACACTGTTTTTAACACAATATTTTTCCTGATTTGAAAGCAACATTATCAATCAGTTCCTTCATTTCCATCCTTCCTTCTGACCTTTGCAGACTGTCTTCAATCAGCTATGGATGTTGTCACATTTTGATAGCTTATTTTTCACAGACAGACATGGACTGATCCTCTGACCTCTAGAGATGGGCCGATTTTTATATTACGTATCGGTATCGGTCCGATACTGACCTAAATTACTGGATCGGATATTGGAGAGAAATAAAAAATGTAATCGATCCATTAAATATCAAAAAAGCACCTCACAAAACTTGTGACATGGCGTAGTAACTCGGCTCATAACCGTAGCACGTCGGAGCAGTATGCGTCACATGATAGAGCGGCTGTGGCCTGTGAGACCTGTCGGTGGTCTGGTTGAGCATTTGGAGCCTCGCTACCAAACCGGCATTTCATCTCCGAGGAAGTGATCCCAGAGAGAAGTAAAGCAAGTGTGTAAGTCCATCTCTGAATGTTTGTAAAGCATTCCAGAATTAAGCTTACCAACCGAGGGAGAGAGAAGACTTGCCTCTTCTCTCTCCCTCCCTCTCTTTTTGCTACTTCAATCATGAAACTGATCAATGATCAGCTGATCGGCTTTTCCGTCGTGAGTCCGTCTCTCTTGTTTGTTTATCGCCCACTTGGCGCCAGAAAGAGGAAACCAGCAGCTGAACAACAGCAGCACGTTTAAGCTTGATAAGCTGTTGTTAGAATGTATTTAATATTACTTTCTACACCAGGATCTTTTTCTACGCAGCTGACGTAACTGTGCAGGGGCGGATCTAGCAAAGTTTAGCCAGGGGGGCTGATAGGGCATGAACAGGGAAAAGGGGGCACAAAGACATACTTTTCTTTCTTATTCTCATTTAAACTGTGTAGCTTTTAATAAATAATTATCTGAATCTTACAACCAAAGTTTTAATCTGATGTAAAACATATAGAAGTCCATTACTGTATATAGTAACTGTTAAGTCTAATATACCCTAGTAAGCTATAGTACCTTTTCCTTTGGGAAGGTACCATCTGTGCAGTCTGCAGTTCTGTTGAAGAAAGATGTTGAATCTATTTAATTATTGTGGAAAAATAATAGATTTCTGTGCATTTTTGGGTGGTTCCCTATTTTTTTTTGCTGGAAGTTTGCAACCCTATTAGTTAGGTTGCTTAATATTTCCACTAAGTACTCTTTAAAATACCAGAATAGGGAGGATGGTGCAGGTTTAAGTTTATTAGATTGATCAGTGTTGCTGAACTATTAAATATTTTGGATGCAGTGTATTTTTTACATACAGGTGTAACAGAACAGCTTTAGTGTTTTTTTTTAACTTGAGTATGAACTTATACCAAATGCAGCAAGATATTAAAAAAACAGTTTTATTGATTAAAAAAACACACAATATCGGATTCATATCGGTATCGGAAGATATCCAAATGTATGATATCGGTATCGGACATAAAAAAGTGGTATCGTGCCATCTCTACTGACCTCCACTGTGGCCTTCAACATTATTCACTTATTAGTGCAGAAGAGAGACAGTGAGGGTATACATGGAAATCATCTGAGACACTTCTTTGGTTGAAACAAATTCTTTCTTGAGATCTAAACTAAAAAAAGATGATGAAATGTGCAGCTTCTGTAATGGCTCATTAAGTGTGTATGTATTGATTCGTCAAGTCTGAAACTAGGTTGACACAGCGATGTGCTTCCAACAATTCGCTGTTTTGTGTGTGTGTGTTCAAAAGCGAGAGAGTGAGAGCATTCACCACCTGTTGTGGGGGTGAATAAAGAGGGTGGGAATGGGAGGCAGCTGTGCCCCTAATAACCCCCCTAACACACGATACACTGACCCCACTGCCACCATCTCCTAACTCAACCAAACACAGTGAAGTCAAAGCTCTCAACAGTATCATCTTACCCACATGCCCACTCCTTAAATACTGAGACTTAACGCTGTTATTGCACTGGTTTAATGCATATACTCTCTCTCTACAGTTACACACTAATAGAAAACATCGCAGCCAAACCGTGTGGCTGTGTAGTAACTCGATCTGGCCGGGGGGGAATGCTGCTCATGTGTGGCATCTCAGGCCTTCTTTTAAATGCTGCTGTGTCTATTTACATCACACAAGTACAGGCCTTCTTTGCTTCTGCTGCCTTTTACAGCGCTCATCCCTCTGTAGGCCAACACTTCTGCTGTATAATCCACGTCTTCTTATACCGTATTTCTAAATAAACATACAACAAGCATGGGGTACTCACCTGATGAAAAGCCATGAAACAGCTCTGCAACATCTTCTAGCTTATTATTGCCACCTTATTAGGCAGTACTAAATGATGCTGTCAGCTTTTGCACTGAAGTGCTTATAAAGCAAATGTTTGGCATTTATGTTTTGTCAGGCACAAAAAATGATCAATGATACTCTCACATGTGTTTGTTAAACACAGGCTCACAGGCTTAGATTAGATTTCTGTTCAATGGATGGTCAGATTAGAACCTGAGTCTGGTCTGAGATGTACCTGTGTGCCAAGTCTGGTTTCTCAACTCTGTGAGGAGCGTGTGTTTTGTAGTGAGATCAGAGACTAAGATTTCAATAATTCATTAAGCACTTTGGGTCAGCTTGTGTTGTTTTAAAAAGCTCTACAGTATATAAATCAAATTGAGTTGACTAATGTAGCTTCTTTGCTTTCTGTCAGCTAACTTGCAGCAAAAACCTTAATCATCATCTTTGTATCTTGTTATTCATTTCCTGCACCGCAGAGAGGAGGTCACATCCCTCAGTTTTCTGTTTAGAAAAACTGTAACAGGACCTAATTGAGCATCTGAAAGTGATAAATCAATGAATATTGCAACATCAAGCATGCATCCCAAACAGGCAGGCAGCACAAGGGAAGCAAAACAAAGACTGATCTGCATGAAAATCTGTGTCCATGTTTAGTGTAACATACCTGGATTGCATCTCTTGTGATTTGTGGCTGCTGGCAGATGATGTGGTGCTGCTGGTCTGCTGGCTGAGCTCCACCAGGGACTGGTAATACTGCTGCTGTTGCTGTTGCTGCTGTTTGTAGCGTGACAGGATGAAGAAGAGACCCAGGATGCTCTTTAAGTTGCCATTCCTGATTTCTGGAAGGTAAAAATGGATTGTAAGTGTTTGCCGTGTTAGTTATTTAACAATTCCTCCATCATACGGCCATGGACCTACAGAATCAAATTCTCTATGGATAGAAATGTGACTTCAGTCTCAATCTCAGTCATCGCGAGCGTACACGCAGAGCAAACATGTGCGATCTGCCTGCATCCATGTATCCTCTAAATCTACCTATGCATTTTCTTGGAATTAAAGTATTTTCTGCAAGTGAAAGTAATCAGCCAAAGATAACATTTTCCCAGAACATGTATTTTGACTTTCAAGCACTATAAAACGAGCATATGCTGATTGTGGAAGAAGAAAAAAACACTCAGGGACAGAGCTCAAGAGCAGCTGTTGTGAAGCAAACATAAGTATTTAAAAAGAGCAATTACATAAAGATACACAGAGTTATAGAATAAGCACTTCAGTTACTTAACTGTATTTAGCAGGAATGATTAAGGCCACTGCTCAGAAGAAGGTCCAGCTGTTATACTGCAGATCCAAATAAAGCATCTCTAACCCGAGCTACGCACAGCTGGATAATTTAGGAGCGGTGACCAGTAGGGAACTACTACTCTGATGTATTACTGGCACAAGTCTGTTGGACAAGCAGCCAAAAATATAAAAGAGTTACTTTGTTTATAGTTCTGCTCTCGCCATGAAATAAGGAAGTGACTGCATGTGCTGCTGGGTGAGGGTAGAAGTGACACATTTCTGTGTACTGATGAAGGCAAAACCATTCAAATGCGTGAGATAAAAAGGAAGAATGAACAGTTTGGATTTTATTATCTGAATGACAACTAAAATGAAACAAGCTAGAAAACAGCGGCCCCGATAACCACGTATGAATCACCATATTCATGCTGCAAAATGAGCTCACAGCAGAAAACAGTAACAAACAACAATAATAAGATAGAATTCACGTTTTGGATATCGGATCTTCAACAAATAGCAGAGCTGCAGATAAAGTAACTGCTTAAATATGCTGAAGAGGCAACAGAAAGAATCCTCTAATCAATAAGTCTATAGTGTAAATCTTACCCTGAACACTTTTGAGTTAATCTCAGACAAAACTCAAACAAATGCTTCCCTCACAGACTCCCACACACACACACACACACACACACACACACACACACACACACACACACACACACACACACACACACACACACACACACACACAGACATAGTGCTGAAGTAGGATCCAGTCGGCGATGAGGAAAAAGAATTGATCACTGGCTAACGCACCCGTTTGTGAAATGGGCTTTTCATACCAAACCCTCAGCGAGAGCTGGCACACAGAGGAATGGGAAGAATGGCAGTGGCTGACACAGGGTTTTTACTACATTTTTCAATCTGGTGAGGAACAAACATTCCCCCGGCCATCCGTGGCTATGCTGCAGAGGCTGTGAAAGTTAGGGAAGATTAATCTCTTGGGGGCGTTTCCTATTTTCTAACACCCAGAGGTGGTAATATACACTAGGCCTTTGAGAGAATCAGAACAGAAAACGCTTTCTGTGCTTTAGGGAAAATAACGTTGCAGATTCTGCTGCACTGGGACTAAAACTGTTTTGCAACTTGTAAAAAAACCCAGCCCCCACTGAAATGATACTGTTGAGGACAAGAAGCAGAATAATGCTTTATCGATCCAACGATGCTTTTGTGGGAAAACTCAGCAGCTCATTTTCTTTAAAGAAACTTTAACAGGATGCAGGCTTGGGCCAAGGTGACAATACCAACCACGCAATTCAGCAATGCTAATTTCTATCCCCCTTTTGAGAAGATGTTGTCTTTTCACATGCTTTTAATATCTAGTTCCTCTTTCAAATTATCATGTAGCAGGTAATTTCCATTTAGACAGTCCCAGATCTGTTAAAAGAGCCGTGTAACAGCGTTGTCCCCTGCAAATGACTTTAGAGGTAATTGGCAATGACAGACATGTTTTGGAGCCAGCATGACTGCCATGCATGCTATGTTCACGGACCAACATTTTATTCTAGTGCAGTGAAACTGTAAATACAGCAATCATTTTGTGAACATGTGCACGACCAAAGGCTGATTTGTCTTCAAAATGTTTGTGTTGTTTAGGAAAGCAGGACTACCAGTTGTAACCTAAATTGTCTTTAGAATTTAGGTATGTAGATGAATTCCTGACGTCACTATTCTGCCATATTTTCAGTTACTTTTCTGGCAAGAGTTTCTACACAAATTACTCAGCTTATCATCTAACAAAAGCTCTGTATGAGTGCCGGCTCAAAATGTGATGTGAAACTCTCCTGGTGAGTCACCTTTTTCTGTCCATTTAGAGTAAAAAAAAAAAGAAGAAGACTGCAGGATTCTGTGAGACACTGATGGCAGTTTGGTAAAGCTCACATTAGACATTTTTTGTCAGAGATCCATACCTGCTTCATGCCAGCAAGTGTCAGCAGGAGAAATGCTGCTCTGGAGCATTTAAAGAAGAAGTTATTTAATGAAACAGCGAGGCTAGGCAACACATGTCATCACTAATAGCCTGTGTTGCCTCCTTCACTTTTCTCATCAGCAGCTTCTGCCTTCTCTTTACTTCCGTAAGCTTTTTCTAAATAATTGTATTTTCTAATTTTTTCACGTTTTCCATCATTGCACTGCTTTGTCTTACTACCTTTCCTACCTCTACTTAAAAGGCTTGGACCCTGCCTTCTGATCAGAGGACAAGTGTGTACCCGTGGTTGATCTTGTTCTAAAGCCACTAATGAAAAGGATTTTAATGTGGTGAGTAGGTCATACTATAGGTTTCCTGGTAGCACTAGAACCAAAAAGAGCCTGTCTTTTTAATAGGCTCAGTGGGTGAGACCCTGCATTGGAAAGAGTGTTTAATGACCTGCTGTACCCCTCAATGTAACCAATTATCAAGTGTAGGAAACATGTGTTTGGGGGCTTTACACCTGCTTTTAAGGGTGGAAATGCTACACTGAACTTCCTGAAGATAATTATCGCATTTGAAGAGGTAAAACTTTATGTTGCCGCTTTGAGATATTTTGTGTCCAAAAGGGTCAAGCTTGACCATGTGTTTTAGTGTATGAAGTTTGTCTTTATAACATGTTTAAGTTGACAACACAGCAGCATGCTCTCAGTAGCAGTGCAAACATTGGAAGCTGCAATTTCAAACATATTAATAATATTAGTGTAACTAGTATGGATGCTAAGTAGGCTTTAGGTGATGATGGTGTAAGTTGCAACAATGACTGAAATGTATCCTTGCAAAAATGTCAGATTTAGTTAGTCATGAGGATTTATGTCTGGGATCAGTTTCCACTGTGCCAACACATCCGGGAGATCTTAGGTTATTGAATTTTAATTGGAAGTCTTTCTTTGTCTCAAGTCTTTAGTAAAAAAAAGCCACCATCATCCTCCTCTGTAGTGTGTGGACTCAATTTCATTAAAGCCTATAAGTCCCCTCGGTGAAATGTTTGTACGGGGACTAAAACACTCTTCAATGAGACGACTTTTTCCGGAACTTTGGTTTAAAGCCTCCCACCAGTGAGATGCAAGGAGACTTCTGGAATAGTTATTGCAATAAGTAGTTTTTAGGTTCCTGTATGCACATCAGGCCTCCCACTTTATTTTATTCCCACATCTTGTAAAACTATAATAAAGACTGCATATTGCCAGGAAAGCCTTGGGCAAATTCAGTTAGACATGAGAGGGCAGACACGGCTGTCTCATTCAAGTCACAAACACAACCAACACATGCTCAATAGAAGAATGACCAAGAGAAGCCAGCAAATGAAATGCATCAGCAACAGCAATGAACAGGGTAACCAAATAGCCCATATATTTACAGACCCACTTTGAAATTCCAAGCCCAGCAAGTCACTTTGCTGTTTTTAGTGTTGTAACTGAGCATGGAGAATTTAGAGCTGTCGGTCAGTGTGTCAGCCTGTTAGGCTATTTCTGCTGCTCGAGATGTCAAGGGCAAGTTCAGCCCATTAATATTTAAAGGGAGCAGAAACAACATGGGTCGGAGCAAGCACTGGTCCTTGTAGATGTGCATTGTGAGTATAAACCTTTATGAATATGATATAAACATCCCAATACGTACTGACAGAGAAACTATTAAATGTTCTTTAAGATCTCCGTACTTTAAAACGTAACAATAACAACGATTTCATTTATTAAGGGGAAAAAAGCTACGCAAACCTACCTTGCCCTATATGAAAAAAGTAATTGCCCCCAAACCTAACTGGCTGAGCAGCAAAGACTGAAATTAGTCTTTCACATCACTGTGGAAGAATTTTGGCCAACTCTTCTTTGCAGCATTTTGTTAATTCAGCAAACCTGAAGGATTTTGGGTAGAGGTCGGCCTGTTAAAAGTCATGCAAAGCATCACAATCAGATTTTATGTCTGAATTTTATGTCCTGAACTCCATCTTGTTCTTTTGAGTCGTTCAAACGTGAATATGTGTGTTTCACTGTCCTTCTCCTTGTCTAGCAGAGATCAGAATTCATGTTTTCATCAATGACAGACAGTTGTCCAGTTCCTGAAGAAGCAAAGCAGCCTCGTCACACTACCACCACCATGTTTGACTGTTGGTATGATTTTCTCTTTATAAAAAGTTGTGTTAGTTTTATGCATGAATGAAACAGGATGCAAACCTTCCAAAAAGTTTTGCGTTTTACTTGTCAGTCCACGGATTATTTTACCAAAAGTGTTGGGATCATCAAGTAGTTTTTTTTCCAGTGTGTGTGTGTGTGTCTGTGTGTGTGGTCAGCTGTGATTTTTGCTTCGGAACTCTTTATGTTGAATCATGATCACTGACCTTCACAGAGACTGTGGGGCCTGCAGTTCTATAGATGTTGTTCTGGGTTCTTTTGTGACCTCCTGGATGAGTCACTGATGCCTGTGACTCCTGATATCCTCACCACTGTCCAAAGTTTTCTTCATTTGTGGATAAATGGCCCTCACTTTGTTTCTCTGAAGCCTCAAAACCTTAGAAATTACTTTGTACCCATTTCCAGACTGACAGATGTTAATGACTTTGTTTTTCATCTGTTCTTAAGTTTCTTTAGATTGTTGCATGATGCGTTTTATCTATTTTATCTTTTATCCTACTTCACTTTCTCAGAAAGGTTCTATTTAGGTGATTTCTTGTTGTGATTCGGTGCTATAAACATTAAATAGAATAGAATTATTCATACCTTGGTGTAGCTTGCAAAATTTAATTCAGTTTTTAAAAAATATGCTTAATCACAGTTTATTCATGATTTTTGATTATCTGAAACATGCAAGTGTGACAAATATGCCAAAAAAAGAAAACAGAAATGGCACAAATAAGTTTTCACTGCACTGTATGTGCTGCTTGCTGTACTGAAGACATTTTGACTGCAGTTGTACATACAGATACTTTTTCATGGAACCATAAGGTGTCCCTGCAGAGTCAAATCAAATGTAAAATGTATTCTTAATATATTGTTTGGAATGTCTAACCCTAGCCTTGTGAGACAGTTTCAGACAATCGTTCACTTTGGCAGAAGCCGTTCAGAGTAGAATGCTTCATAAGACTGGCGTGTCTTATGAAGCATGTACTGTGTACCCTGATGGTCAGGAGGCAAATCCTGCCCTGCAGTTTTTATCCTCCCACAATCCACTCTGATGCCCTAATGACTGCCTACACTGCCATAGTGAAAGCTGTCATGATACCAGTGTGGTAAATTCCATTACCGTGAAGTACACTCACATGTCTCGGAAACAGGCTTAAACCAGGTTTCTGAAAACATTTGGTACTGTGAAGAAATGGAAACCTACCCACAGAGGATGGGTCGCATTGAAGCCAAATTAATTTTCCAGATTTAGAAATTGACAAATACAACAGCCACATCTCTCTTCTGCTGCTCCACCGACTTAATTAAGTTTAATCAGGCCTCAAATTTTGTATTATTCCTACCTTCTGCTGAGAGCCCTTGTACATTCACTCCTCTGGCATCCAGGAAACTGAGGCAGGCATCCACATTCTCAATCTGTTGAGAAGATGGCAGACAGTCAGCACAAAGCACAAAGGATGTGATGACACTTAACATTCAATGAGCCTAAATGTCTCGGGGCAGAGGGCTCAGAGGATGGAGCTTATCAGCATTATGACCCATAAAGAACATCATTGTGTGGTTATTACCCGACCCCCGCACAACCCTGGGATCAGGCTGCACGACATACTGACCGCAGTGTGACGCCACCTACACAATCCGCTGCATGTCATGTTCACGGATTCAAGGGGAGACACAAGGCCATATGTACACAGTATGCTGGTAAGTGGTAGAAATACACCCCCAGAGTACTAACATATATACGCAAGACACAAAGATATGTGGTACAAACACAGGAATAAGCGTTCGCATAATTTACACATAAACACAATGACAATAGTACAGTGTGGCCCACGCTCACAGTGTAGGCAACAACTGCCACCTATGTTTCAGCTGTACAAAGGCGCACTGAGGCTGCAGTTATGAGGGGGATTTTTGCCATCCTTGACAGCAGCTAGCGGGTCGCTTCATTAACATGGTGGCCAGCCGCCAATCCCTCTTAATAGGCCTTTTATGATCAGGCCAAAGGTCTTAGCGCTCTACGCAGCGCAGTGTGTCAGGGCCATACAAAGGGCAGGCTGGGCAACTCAGCCAGACGTCCAACGGGCAATGATGATTCATGAGCTGCAATTCCCTGTCAGCCCTCTAAAGCCTGCTAGCTTTTTCTCTCTTTTAAATGTGCGCTTGCTCTGTATTCTTTTCTCTCTTCATCAAAAAGCATCAGGACACTGAGTCATATCTGTACACAGGCTGTTTGGCAACTGCGTTGTCTTCAATGTGTTATGTGTCTTTTAGTAAGGAATCAGCTTAAATGTAACAAGACACAGAACTTGATATTTTAAATGTTGGGGCAGGGCTACAGCGGTCATATGTGGTGAAGCTAAAAAAAAAACTCAGAAAAATTGATAAAACATCTCTGTGGATTTTTTCCTCACACAGGTGCCCTGGTCTGAGTGCTACTTGAAGCAGTAGTGTCCACAGATTTTTTAACTGTGTCACTCCCTGCAATGCACAAAAGGCTCAATATAAGTGAGCTGAGTGAGGAAGTTAAACTTCTCCAATAAAGTAAGATGGATTCAAATCCTACAGATGAAGGCTTGCAGAAAGCCTTCATCTTTTACCATATGAATCATCATGCTGACACAATCGCACATGCAGCACAAGCTAGAGCACTTAAAATAGTATGATGACACAATTAATTTTATGGTTAATGCGGATTCCATTTACAACAAAACTAATCAGAGATCATTTTTTGGCAGGACATTATGAGGCTTTGGACTGATGGAAAGGATCCTTATGCTCACTGTCAACCTGACTGTGGAACAAACAGAACGGGATTGTCAGAACTGCTGGAAAAATGAATGGTGATCTAAACTTCACTAGACAAGCTGGATCATCAGTTTGTCTTAAGGAAAGCCCCATCTATTGGTGAGACAGAGAACTCTCTTTACTCTGACTTTGAACTAATGCCCTCAGGACGACATTGTAGCACGCCACTAGCTGGCAAAAAGGATTTAAAAAGAGATCATTTGCGCCAAAAGCAGTAAGTATACTGAATAATAAGAAGCTGTGATGTCCACTCAAAGGCTCAAACAGCACCTCAAAAGCCATTGCTGAAGTACAGCAACCACTTAGCAGCCACCTTCTCTCCCAAATATGATGTTTATACTGGTTGTACCAATGGGAGGCTGCATGGGACACAAATTCACAGACGGAGCTTCTCCATCTGCCTGACACAACTTATAACCACCCACACACAACAAACCCCCTCGCATTTCGGTTTCCATATTCTTTCCCCACATGTTGCGCTCAAAGACGAACATGTGTGCTCTGGCGTTAACTTTGTTTGATTCTTCCAGACGCACATTTAGAAGTTTGCATGTTGAGAGACATGTGCGAAGCAGCATTCGTCTCATTACGTCAGTCTAATTAGGTTTGAAGATGTGTGGTGTAGGAGTTCTCGCAGTCTAATGCCTGCCAAAACAAACAGCTTATAGGTACAAAAGATATGCCATCAAAAACATTTGCGAGATAACAGACGTTTTTATCAGCAACTCAGCTCATTCAGTTGCAAATATTTACAACACAAAGGAGTGCTGTACTACTTTGCATCTTCTCCACGGGCAACGTATGTGTTTGAAGTCTGATTTAATAGCTGATAAAGACAAAAAAGGACCAAACCCATAAACATGCAGTAAATCTCTTTAGTTGGAGACAGATCTGCCAGCTTTTAAAGCATCACAGAAACAAGCCTGTGCTGTTATCCTCTGTGACTTCAAGTGGTCTACCAACTATGAATTCTGAGACTTTTAGACATAACCGCTGTTTGTTTTTAGTCTGCATTAACTGCAAAATGACGTAAACAAGGGGAATAATGATTGAAGGCGTTGATGACGGCTGGAGCATTAATGTTCCACAGGGTCCTGGCGATGTTTAACTGCTAGTTTGGTGGGTGGATTGGCTTTGTGGCATCCTGTAACAGCCTCTAGAGAAACCGACATAATTTATTTTTCCTACACATCCTGGCATCACACAGATCCACATAAGCCATTAAAAGCCATTTGAAAATGGGGCATTATGATGAGGCACACTTTACTAAATCATGAAATACTTTAAGCAGAAAAAGGGGAGCACATATTGAGGGGTGACAGGAGTGCACATGTAAAACACACACACGAGAGGAAGGAGGAATGAGGGGTGCTGTTAAGTTTCTGCGATGAATAACTTTGAATTAAGCTACATTTCATTTACAGCGTCACAGTCCGAATCAAAATTCCTGATTCTCTGTAACATGGGCAGCAGGGCAAAGACGACTTATGCAAGTTTCATCCTTTCTGAGGATGAGGACTCCCTGGTACACCTGTCTTACACTGTCTTGTATAAAATCATTGGATGCTGAGGTGAAGCCAAAGGAACACAAATGAGCTACACTCATTTTATTTGCATTTGTATTACAAAACCCTAACCTGCTAAATATGAAGAGAACAGTTTCAAATTTTGTCCATGTGATACAAAGGCCTCTGCAATGATCATATAAGTCACAGAAATAATGAAGTGCTCAGATGTCTCTTTGTCATGATGGACTGGTGAAGCCTAAATCCATCTATCAATCTCCTGCTTCCTTCTCCCCTCATACGTGAACCCAGAGATATTTTAAACTTCTCCATTTGGGGCAGAAACCTGTCCCTGACCCCGAGTGTCAGTGTCCATTCATCCATTCACTTCCATTTATCCCTTTCAGGGTCACAGGGGGCGCTGGAGCCTATCCCAGCTGTCTTAGGGCTAGAGGCAGGGTACACCCTGGACAGGTCGCCAGACTGTCATTGTCAGTGTTTTTTCCCTTTAATGGCTGACGACCATTGCCTCAAACTCGGAGGTGCTAATTGTCATTGCTGCTGCTGAAAACTGCTCCAGTGAAAGCTAGAGGCCACCATCTGATGAAGTCCGCACAACCACAAGATTTACACAAAGTAGAGATGAGACCAAGGGCCACCAAAGTGGAAGTTTTCTGGCCCTTGTCCCCACTTAGAAATTCTATCCATAGAAATAATGAACAGAATCAGTGACTAAGAGCAGCCCTGGCTCCCCCACTAACATACTTAGGGAAATGTAGCATACCATTTGACTGCCACCCCTCATTACAGGCAGCCATCATTATATACACTCAACAAAAATATAAACGCAACACCTTTGTTACTGCTCCCATTCCCCATGGGATGGACGTAGAGACCTAAAATTCATTCCAGATACACAATATAACCATCCCTCCCAAACAGTGGTCACAAATCAGTCCAAATGTGTGGTAGTGGGCACATCTGCTATATTGAGATAATCCATCCCACCTCACAGGTGTGCCACATCAGGATGCTGATCTGACATCATGAGTAGTGCACAGGTGTACCTCAGACTGCCCACAACAAAAGGCCACCCTGGAATGTGCAGTTTTGTCTCACAGCAAAATGCCACAGATGCCACAAGCAATGAGGGAGCGTGCAATTGGCATGCTGACAGCAGGAATGTCAACCAGATCTGTCGCCCGTGCATTGAATGTTCATTTCTCAACCATAAGCCGTCTCCACAGGCGTTTCAGAGAATATGGCAGCACATCCAACCGGCCTCACAACCGCAGACCTCGTGTAACCACTAGAGATGGCACGATACCACTTTTTTATGTCCGATACCGATATCATAAATTTGGATATCTGCCGATACCGATATGAATCCGATATAGTGTTTTTTAATCAACAAAACTGTTTTTTAAATATCTTGCTGCATTTTGTATAAGTTCATACTCAAGTTTAAAACAACAACTACACTAAAGCTATTCTGTTATACCTGTATGCAAAAAAAAAATATTTCATAGTTCAGCAATACTGATCAATCTAATAAACTTAAACCTACACCATCCTCCCTATTCTGGTATTTTAAAGAGTACTTAGCGTAAATATTAAGCAACCTAACTAATAGGGTTCCAACTCCCAGCAACAACAAAAATAAATAAATAAAAAATAGGGAACCACCCCTCACGCTCCACCTCATGATGCTTAATCGACGTAATCAACCTTAATTTGATGCAGTGTGAAAAAAAATGCACAGAAATCAATTATTTTTCAAGAAATATTAAATAGATTCAACATCTTTCTTCAACAAAATTGCAGACTGCACAGATGGTACCTTCCCAAAGGAAAAAGTACTATAGCTTACTAGGGTATATATTAGACTTAATAGTCACTATATACAGTAATTGACTTCTATTCATTTTACATCAAATTAAAACTTTGGGTGTCAGATAATTATTTATTAAAAGCTCGACATTTTAAATGAGAATAAGAAAGAAAAGTATGTCTTTGTGCCCCCTTTTCCCTGTTAATGCCCTATCGGCCCCCCTGGCTAAACTTTGCTAGATCCGCCCCTGCACAGTTACCAGCCGTCAGCTA